ATGGCTATAATNCTCAAAGGGTTTAGGCAGCGTTTTCGTTGAAAGCTTTCAGACGGCTTATTTTTTTCCAACACCTCCAACAAATATCGTTAATGTATACAAAAGCTTAACAAATCATATCCTAAAACCTTCCTCGAGAACCACTCTATCCATTGGTGAAAACAGCATGAAAATCGGTGCAGTAATTTTTGAGTTTATCGCGAACAGACCGACAGACGCGGCGGAGGACTTTGTTTTATAAATATGTAGTGATGTAGTGATAGTAACGACTTACAGGTAATTTCAATGTGAATTAATTTGTGTGGTCACTAGCTAAATAAAATAATTATAATTTGAATAAAGAAAACAACAATAAACAATTATTAATCTAATTATTAATGTTTGTATTAAAATGAAAAGCTGCATTGTGAAGTTAAATTCCACGACCAAAACTAACACAAGGGGGCTGATTTTCTTTGTGACATCATTCTTTTAAAACATATTTGCTACTGGTAATCGGAAGAAGAGGCAACGTTAGCATTGTTGTACAAAATTTTCTTCCCAATCTTGATTTTCTGTTGCAGAGAACCTTGTACATGTCTCCTTCAGCTACTTTATCGCTTTTCCAAAAACCAAAACGCTTCAAAGTAGCAATTCCTTCTCTACAATATGCTAATAGTAAGTAGCTGCTTATCTACGAAATAAATGACCGCTAAATGTGTCTGGATTTTCTAGTTAGCAATATTTGTGGGCATCTTTCCAAAAGTATTGAATGGTATATTTTCCTTATCGGCAGTTAAGAAACAGTGACTTAGTTGTTGTTTTCTGTGAAAACAAACTTAGGTATTTTCGATACCACTCTATTGGGCTAATGCCTGAACCATCACTCAAAATCGTCAAAGACTGCTCCTTGTGAATTTTTATGAATAAGAGAAGAGGTTTTTTTCTTCTACATACTACTCTTTGTACATATTAACAAGTTCGTCAAATCTGCACCCACCAGCAACAGTAAAAACAGCAACCACCTAAGCTTAGACTAACAATAAGTAAAAAATCGTACCTTCTTCAATCATCTGGTGCATGTACAAGAAATTTATTGGTTTCTTCGATGATTTTTTGGCTGTGTATCCAACGAGCTTCTGTTTTATCAAAACAGGCAAACTTGTGACAGGTATTTGCTAATATCTTTATTTTCGTAGACATTGAACGTAGAGCGTTCACGTAATCGAAGATTTGTATTTTCTATCTCCCAAGCTTTCATTATTACTATCGAACATCTTTTGTCGTTTTCTTTAGATTTTGGCGGAATCCCAAAGGTGCGGGTTTGGCTTCCTGAAAATCAGAAAATTTGTTATTTATCAACAAAGAATCCACGATGACCGACGTTGACAACCAGGACAACAGGTTGTTTGACTTTTTAAAATATCTCCAATTTAGTTTTTTTTTTTGTTAAAAAAAATGTTGCATATCATACGCAAGCGCTCAGACGTTATTTAACTGAACTTAACTTAAAATGGCTTAATTATCTTTCATTCGTCGGAGTCTAAAATATATTATTCATTAAATATTTATTTTACTTTTAATATTCCTATAAAAATTAAAATAGCTATTTATGATATATGTGTTAAAAGATCCACTTCTTATTTGTGGAAGGGCGAAATGGGCGTTGACTATTAGACACCTTCATTATAGCCATCCTTGTCTATCACATGGATTTCTGTGGCTTACTTTATCGCTCTCACATAACTTCTGATAGACCATCGGTACTTTCCTACACTGTATAATCTCAGCTAACAGCAATACCTAAGTTTATAAGTACGAGTTTATAAATTTTAGAAGTTGTTTAATTTATAAGATTTATATAACAATAAAATATTAATCTATTATAACTATTATACAATATTAATACCAGTGGTCGTTTTTGACAAATAATTAAAATGAAAGTAAAAAACAATATAAAAATTTCCCTAACGTTTCAGAAACATGTTCTACAGAGAAGACTGAAGAAAGTTAAGTACATATACATTTTTCATACTATTATTGTCGATATGTCTTCATTCCTAAAAACAAGTATTTAATATAAAATATAAGTAAAATAAATCAATATAAATAATAAATATCTAGGTATCATAAAACGTATTACATAATTCAAACACAATTACCTTTCGACGTTTATTTATAGGAAAATATTTCTACTTTTCCATTTTCCTCTTGGTTACTTTTATTTCTTTGTTTCATCTTCTTGTTTCCTGACACCTTGAATATTTCGCATAAATCTCTCAGAAGCTTCTCTTATAATTTTATTATAACTATTGTTCTAACAAACAGTTTTAAATGGTTTTAATTACAATTACAATGCCTTCAGATAATGTTCTAATATCAAACCCAAACTACAGTATAGACTTTCTTTTTATACTGTGCCCATATGAGTAATATTTATTTACTCTTGTGACTGTGACCAAACCTCAAATCGTCCTTTCCAGCCTTTCTGCGGATATTAACGCAATACGCATGCGCACCAAAAACGTCCCCAGCAATAATTAGTGTAGTTTGTGAAATGCATGGTCTTTGGGTTGACGTTCGGACGCAGACTACGTAGGCTCCGTAGGGGGCTCTGTAGCAATGTCCGTGTCAGCGCTGAAACTTATTTTGATTAATTGTGACCCTAAACACATGTTGTAGATCAAGTTTTTAATTTTTTGGACTGTTTAAATTTTACCAAAATTCGAAGAGGGATGAAGATTTTTATGCCTTAGAGCGGCTTCTGAACGATGGGGGCGTCTGATACGTCTGATGACTTTTGACGGCACTCATGGCTTCGTAGCGGAAGCATGCGTGAATTATTTTCGAAACATGAGTGAATTTTGAACAATGACACTATGTACTCATTTGGAGAATATGCCGATTCAATTTCCCTATCGGCGAATAAAATTCCAACTGAAAATTTCCAAACGAATTGACACCGCCCGATCATAAAGACCTTTTTTCTTCGTTCCTGATTTCTTTTTAATTGCCATGGAATTACAACTGGATATTTATTTCATCGTGTACATTTCCACGCCGCGTCCAGCTGATGAGCGGGATTTCCCGGCCGTTTCAGAAGTATGGTGAATTAATAGTCCGATCGTATTACGGGCGGATTAAAACAATGAGCACGTGTGGAATAAAAAATTGATTCCCCGAAGCGCGCGTACCTATCTTTTGGGAAGTGACTAAATTTTCGCGATCCTATGCAGTGATGTGGTGAATTCGTTCGTCATATCCGGGCTTAAAAAAAATAACAAGGTCGCAGGAAACTGCATTGTTTGTGCTGTTTCTAGTAACGTAAAAGCGTGTATTAGTTCGGAAATTACAGTGCAGTGTACTCTGCATCAGCACAATGCATTTTACAAGGTAATTGATGGGCGTAGAGCTTCGTGAAGTTAAGGAAAAGGCTCCTCTGTAAGTCGGAATTGTTTCTTTAATTGTACGTCTTGTTCTTTTCAAATACCTATGTATGGTCTCTGGGATGAAACAAGCGAAAGGGAGGCAGCTACTCAAAGCGTTATCATCATAGATTAGGAAATATCAAATGTCAATTAGTTATTCGTGTTTTTGTTGGAAACGACAAAATTTTTTGAAAACTAACAAGAGTAAGAAAAGTTTTAGAATTAAATTCCTCATAAGATAAAGTAATAATTTTTTAAGTCCTTCAAGGGGCTAAACAATTCTGTCTTATTTTAATGGAGCATTATCCCTTATGAACCCTTTAAAATGCTTCAGTTAAACTCTACTCACTGTAGATTAATGCTCTTGGTACACTTACACCGTATACCAAATTAGGTTTTTCTAAGTTCAGGTGTAACTGAGATATTGATTTTTTCCAAATTTGAAACCCCTAAGGTCTATAACTTCGTCGCAAACACCCTGTATTTCTACTTACATGCCAAGTTACCTTCAAATATCTTTATAAATGTCGAGGGGTTATTTGTTATTACACATTGCAATGTCCGTAGATAGCTTTAAAAAAACGCACGTTTTTAAATATAACGAATAAACTGAAAAGTTTAAAGGCTTCAGCACATGGTACTGCTATCGCTATCGCGAGTCTTACGATTAATTTCTAGTGAAACCATAAAAATAATAAGGGTAGAGAACCAGAACACCCAGAATGAATTTTCTTAAACCTCTGTTATTCTGATTTGTCGTCAGAAGCCGATAATATACTTAAATAATGACCACACGACACGTGTGTAATGTCTGCTAGACTCAGATAGTCACTAAAGGCACCAGCCGGTGTTTTTATTTATTATTACAAAATACCTCCATAATGAATTAAAACCACACTAACAGCAAGTTTCAATGGAAAAAAGTTATACTCTGTAATTATTTACTTGCGGCCTTTTTTTTTGTTACTTTTTTATTCAGTTAGGCTTTTCTCCCACGCAGAAAAAAATATATATTTTAAATAAATAATACCTTGCACCAGAAAGAGTCAGTCAAGGGGTTGATTTTATAAATTTAGTTTTGCCTAAACACAAATATTTCATATCTACTGAGTAACAAATAATTGTTCTCAATTAGATTATTGTTGATAAAGTTTCGAACACTTCTTTGTTTTCGTTCTCAAACCTCTAATCAACTTGATTAAAGAAAGAAGGTGACATTTAAATTTCAGTAAGTTTAATTATAGAGTTTTTTAAGAACGAAAACAGGAGTTTTCTAAACGTTAATAACTTGTCTCGATAGTGTAATCGTGAATAATTCTCTACTACCTTAGAGAGAAATGAGAAATTAAATTTATAAAATCAACTTTAATTTTTCCTTTTGGCCTTTATTTTTTTTTCTTCACTGTTACAGAAATATCCAATATCCTACGACACAATAATGTTAAACTTAAGCCTTAAAAAGAGAATGGTCTTCTATGGAACATTAATGCGAGTTTAAGCTATAAAATCTATTTTTTTTTTTTTCACAATTTGAAACATATAGCACAATTCCAGATTTATAACTTGTATTTAATTTTGGGTATTTTGTTGCAGAGCCGTAAATCAGCTCAATGGAGTTGACGTAGAGGGCAAATCGCTTAAAGTGGAACTGGCCGTGGAAAAACGCGGGAGAAGGGGCCCGCGGGGTCCGGGAGCCCCCTTTGGGGGTTTACCCGGACAGAGCAGGCAAACAGACTTCCCCTTGCGGATACTTGTACAAAGTGATATGGTAAGTTACAAAATTACACCCTACGGTGACTGTGACGATTTTCGACCATTTAGTGTTTTTTGCTTGATTTCTACCCTAAATTTAGGGCGATTCAGTCATAATGTCATTAATTTTAAGAGCAGATAGAGAAAAATGAGTATAATACGATGGCGTGATTAAAAAAAAAATTAAATGCATATTTAAGTTGAAAAAAAATATTTTCAAATCATTATTTAACCCCCTTTTCAGGCTGTTACTGACCGGCTGACGTCACAATATTATGCACGGCTACGATATGAACCTATGAACAACGCGCCCTAGATGCAACGTTGCCATATTTATATATTTTCGCTCATATAAAGACAATAAATAAACGGTTTTGCTCACGTCAACCAATAATAATTTAAAATGCTATAAATTATTTTTTATTTATGCAATCAACATATTAAATTGTTATTGTTGCCCAGCAAGAACCTCGAGGTCTGAGCATGCCTTGCCAAAAATCAGTTTTTATTAGCATCATAATTTTAATATTTTAACAACATTTGCTGTAAGCCCGAAGGGGAAGGTTTTCAAACAATTCTACTAAAAATTAGTAACGCGGCCCATTCAGATGTTCAGGTAGAAAATGCGGCCCAATTAAACGATCGCCATTGACATTGACACCGAATCTCCTCTGAAAGCTATACCACCGACGAGTAGTGTGCGGGTAGTAGTGTGTTTCATCTGACCAAATGTGACTATTATGGCTGCAAAGAAATTAGCTGTTTCACTTTAAATAAGATTTAATATTGAAGTTACAAAACCCCAAAAGTTCAAATAATTTAAATTTCATTTCATAACCATTTCAATTTCGTTACAGAAATAATGTCATAAAAAACCAACACTCACTAGATAAATTATAAAGAGAGGATAAATTGTATGCAGTATTTAAATATTGACTGCAATTAGAAGAGAGACTTGTATATTCCATAAAAAAACAATGGGACGGAGACAAATAAACAACTCGGTAC